GATTGTAATAAATTGAATTTCTTAAAGAAGATACATATACATCTATGTACCGATTGAATCAAAATTGTTACTTTTGAAAATATATGAATTAGTGCAAATTTACACACTAGACCATATATGTGGATAAGAAAATCCACAACTTAATTTTAATGAAATAAACTTGTTTGAGTGTGTTAAATTTTTATTCATATAGTATCATTTTAATATTAAAAAATTACAAAATAAAATTATAATACATCAATAAATAAAAAGCACAAAATTATTTAGCATAAAAAATACATTACACAATTATTTAGCATAAAAAATACATTTACTAATACACATTATACAAAAATTTATCATTAATATTACAATAAAAGAAAAGCAAAAAAAAAAAAATGTAACGCTGCTACAGTGTTGCGCCAGATGTGGCGCAACACTGTAGCTTTCTCCAAAATAGAGCTAATTTGTGGCGCAGCATTGGGGAGGGATTTTCGCTACAATAGAGTAGAGATGGGCTATGTGGCGCAGCATTGCGGAAGCTCTTAGGCTTCACACAGTTAGATACTTTTTTACAGGTAATGCTATAAGTACATAATATTGTACATAGGGGTGTACATAACACTCATATTGAGTGGGACCCATCAAAAATAAAAAATTAAGTGGACCTCACTCCATGTGAGTGTTATGTACACCTCTATGTACATTTATTATGTACTTATAGCATTTTTTATTTTTTACACACGCACAACATAAATAATAGTATAACATTTATAACATATGTATTGTTTTAAAAAAAAAATATATATACAACTTATCAACCCGTATTATACTAGGCCGCCTCAAATAAGATATACAAATTAATGAAACATAAGTGAATATTATTTTCACTCATGAAGACTAATTTGAATATACTTTCACTAATTTGAATATACAAATTAATGAANATATATATATATATATAAAATTGCTAGCAATTCATTAAATTTTACCTCATAAATTTTATCACTTTAATTTTACCTCATAAATTATACATACGTGGCACCTAACTTTTCAAAAAGTGATTCTATTAATTACGACAAAAACCGTTACATTTTATATTAATTGAGTAATAATTATATTTTTTATTATATCATATAATAGTTGTTATTAGAATTAATAATTATATTTTACACTAAATGATATATGAAAGTTACATAAACATAAAAAAATATATTGTAAACTTTTTGCTCAAGTTACTTATTCTAAAATCAATATTATATTTTTTTAGCGATAGTTTTTAAATAAATTAATTTATTCTAATGTCATAGTAAAATTCTTTAAAATCACATAAGCAATTGTTATAATAAATTTAATATTTTTCAGCAAATTAATTGGTCACGATCTCAAAAAAATTAAAAATATTACACTATTTATTGTATTTTATACAGTTAATATAGTGATTCATATGCAATCAAATAGTCACGTACTATTTATTTTGACCAATGATCAAATTTTAAAACATATACTATTATCTAACTTATAATTTTAATTTTACATGCTTAAATATAACTTATAATACTCTACGTTTAAAATATTAGTAAGATTTAGAGAATCGGGACAAGAGCGCACCATAAGAGAGTGTGCCTAGGTACACCATAGTGAGATTCCATCCTGAAACTAATTGGTGATGGGTGGAGTAGCTCACTAGGCATATAATAAGCTAAGCTCAATTTCCCTATAAAATCAATGTGTGACAACTCAGAAGTAGTACTCCAACAAATATCATTATCTAACTTATAACTTTAATATTATATGCATAAAAATAACTTTGAATATTTTACTTATATTTGTGCAAATGTACAAGATCGAATACTAGTTCAGATTAAATACGAATATTCAAGCAGAATAAAAATTAAATATTTGACTCATACCAAGTTACCAACCAATCACTTGCACTCTTTTATAACTTAATTCTTATGTTAAGAGTCTCGATATAATATTCAATGACCTTCAAAGTAAAAGCAGCCGCTGGACCCAATACTTTGTCAGTATTATTGTATTAATTAATGATTAATCTTTGAATGTTTTTTTTATGTCTGTGGGTACTTTAATTATAATGTGGGCGTCATGCGAATAAACATGAGCTGCTGATTTGTTTCATTAAAATAAGGTTGTTGTGGGCAGACATAATGGTTAGGTTGTTGTAGTCTTTTTAACATATGTGCATAATTTAAAATTAAAATATTATAATCTAAAGATAACAAATATAAATATAACATTTTATTGCATTATTATTATTTTTGTAAAAAAAAAATAAGAACTGGTCAACTCGTCTAACGAAAGTCTCATAAAACAATTTGTGGTGAAATAAACATGTTGTGTTGGTGAAACCGTAAAATTAATCTATGCATATAAAATGTGGTTAAAATGAGAATCAAACTTTAAAGAGAGAACCTTAGAGAAATTTTGTTTTTAGATGTATGTATTATTATGATTAATTAATTGTGTTTAATGTTATTTGTAATCAGAATATATTTTATTAAATATAATAAAAAGATTTGTAATAGCATTGTGTAAATAATAACATCATTCATAATAAAATAGTATAAAATATGCTTTTCACGAGTATAATTAGTTTTTATTTGAAAAAGATTGATAGGTCGAAAAATGTGCTAGTATTATATATTTAATAGTGTATTTTTATACACTTAATTTATTAGCACGTTTATATTTTTCGACTTATTTATTATTTGGATGGATTAATATACATTGATATTTTTATGTTTAATTTTCAGGATATTTGATTATTTTTATGAGCGATATGGTACCAAACGAGAATTTGGACATGGTTAATTTGGGCCGAAAATTAATGAAATCAAAAGCCCAATATAATTGATTTGTTTGCTTTAAAGAGCAAAAGTGGAGCTGGTTACGTTGGAGTGAAAGAAAA